GGTCGGGGGCGGCGCTCGCCCGCCGCCGCTCGTGCCTGGTAAAAAACCAGTCGCTCCTTTAAGGTTGGGATGGTATGGAGTAGGTATGCAGGTGGTACCCGTGCGGAAGGGTGTTTGGGCAGGCTGCGGGAGGTTTTCCGAAAAGAAAGGGAAGGCAATAAAGTTCAGCTAAAGGCAGCTCAGCACTCTCAGTCAGAGCACAGCAGGCCGGAGGTGCGACGGATACGCTTGGCGCCAGAGCCACCCGCAATGCCACCTCCCTCAAAGAAAGCGCACAGAGTAAGTGGTGAGAGTCAAGTGTACAGAGTGCTACGTATTGTCTAGAAAACCTGCCAAGTAGAGGGACGATCTCCTCCCAGGCAGTGTTCTACAGGAGAGTTTACAGTATTAACAGCAGAACACCATAAATGTCTGGTTCATCCCACTACCTCTTCCCTCATCAAGGAAATCCCCTTCTTCAGCAGGGACTGCTGAGGCTGCCTGCCCCTGAGGAAATGTCACCACCTGGTTATTCCAACAAACCTTTCCTTAGATGCTATGGAGCTTACTGTCCAAATTGCTAGAGCTACACAGCAAGTTACAGTGCTTGTAGCATAGCTGTCAACTAAACGTCTAACTTCCTATTTTTCTTCCTAGCTTGCTCTAGTTAGTACTCATCTTCCTGCACCAGGGAGGAGTCCCAGGAGGGGATTTCATAGTGTTATGTTGTCCAGAATTCATAGATTTCCTAAGCCAGTGAAGAAGTGACTAATACCCACAAAGAAGAGCAAAATTTATCAGCTGGAGCATTTCACTATGCAGTTCTGATGGTTATTTGTGAGTCCAAACACAGTGGTCTGGGCCATTTTCTCTGTCCCAAAAGAAAATAAGAGTAATTTTTACCTTTTAAACAGTGGTTAAATTTTTAATCTGTTCTGCATGATTTTCAGACTTTCTCTGACCACATCAGTGAGTATTGGATGGTTTATTCTCATATCTAATGTGACATCTGCAACAAAAGCCGTTGCATAGAAACAAAGCAAATTTTGCCTTTAAAGAAACATGCTTCAAGTAATGCAAGGTTAAATTCAAGCAACAGGCTGTAAGTAGATGCAAGGATAACAATCCTATTTGGAGCAACAAGGACAGAAATAGATGTCTTGAGATAAAAGGGGCTTGGAAAATAAGCACATAGTATAAAATTCTACAGAGGAGGCCAACAAAACTACTACTTCTGTCAAAATGATACTACTTCTACTCTTCCATCAAAATGTGTTGGTCTAGCTTATCTCAGTAGAAATGGGATTAAAAATTAAATACAGAATGGCCTAGACAGGCAAGAATGCCAAGTTGATTAAAATGGGGACAGGAAACAAGAGAATCCTGTTCTAATCCTGATTCTGCTGCATTCGCTGTGTGATTAACCACTCCAAATACCCACAGCTAAACCCCCGTGTTTTAAAACAAGGGTAACAGTGACTTAATTAACAAATCCATATAATTCTCCTGACAGTTAGTTGGGTACATCTTGGAAAAAATATTAAATACATTGTAAATTCTAAGTATTAACATGATTACTCCACCAGAAAAACTATCTGCCATAGCATGCTAAATCAAAGAACAGTTAAAATAGCTGCTGCTTCCCCCCCCCCGCCCCGCCTTCAGTTCCACAGGCACGTATAGCAGCTGTCACTTAATGCATGATATACATTAGCAAACTCCACAATATTTTCCTCAGTTTAGAATTTCCATTTATGCCATTAAAGCAGAGTTAGGAGCCTAGATACAAAGTAACCAATTCATTATTAAAAAAGTCTTTATCTTCAGAACTGTTCTCCTTTCCCTGCTGTGCCACTAACAAGGATGCTGTTTTATAGATTGCATCTACTTCTGCATATAAAATACAGGAACCAGTTGCTAGTAAGTTATTTGTAAGGTTTGTCAAGTGGAGTGACCATCTTGTCAGAATGCTGCAAGATTATTCACCAGTGTTACAAAATATTTCATAGTTACATAGTTACTTACACTTTGGCTATCTACCAGGACTCCTTGAGTCGTACTTGCTTCGAAGCTAGATTTTACTTCAAGAGGTTGTGAAAGAGTCCACCTTTTGTAGTACATTTGGCTTTACGGAGGCAAATACTTTTGTCCCATTTAGCTATGAGAAAACTCTCACTTTTCACATTTCTTTTCAGCTTGGGTTGTGTGTAGTCCCTAGCTTGCCACTCGATATTTGCACTTAGAAACTTTTCTGCTGCTTGTGACCTCAATAACAGCTATGTTTCTGTAGAGATTCTATGAATCCAGTCGTCACTGAAGCATAAATGTTTCCTAAGTGCATAGTTTGTATACTTCTCTTTATTGACATTTTAGATCCCTAAACAATAAAATCTGTGCACTGCTGACCCTGTGTAAAATATAAATGTATGTTTTGTAACTCTTATCTATGCTAGCAGGCAAGCATTCCGTGTAAGTAATAGAGTAATTACAGCAAGTAGATGTGTTGGTTTTTTTTTTTCCCCTGAAGAGGAAGCTTGTTGCCTTTATCTACATAAAAACAAATGACAGTCTTTCCCTGCTAATTGCTCAGTGTAACACAGGAGCTGATGAATGTTTTACTAACTATGCTTAAGATCCCAAATGCTACAGACAGCAAGTGAGGAACAGCAGCCTGTTGAGAAGCAGCTGATTACTAGCTACCTAAGTCATTTTGGCACAACAGGTCCAGGATTCATTATAATTACAACTTGTTGGAGTGTTAGAGGTTTTTTTTTTTTTTTGCTTGGCTGGTTTTGGGTTTTCCCCCTCATGTTCTTGCTCTTCATTATTTAAAAATAGTTAATTCTGCACAATTTAAAGCCATGTTACTTGATTTACTAGTGCAACTTCATAGAAGTCCAGGTTTAACCCCTTCCACATTTTTCAGTTGGTAAATATTAAACTTCTCTGGTTTTTTTTTTTTATATGAGACACTTTCACCTTCTATTACATAGAATTCACATGTCTACATGTTCTAATTTATTGCTGTGAATTCAAAGAGCAGTAATGCTAATACCTAAGTTCTTTTGCAAGGAACTCAAGTAGCTCAGTAATTACGGCAACAGATTGAGGGCCAGTAGTAACATACTGTTTCTAATCCTCTCTAAACTATTAGTGACTGACCTCATCCGAATCACTTCATCTCACTATCTCAGTCATCTTAGCTAAACGAACACGTGTTTTGTATTTTTCTTACCAACCTAACCTTAACCAGCCTTCTGGGGCTTCACATGATTACTTGGTAAATCTATCAAGTAGGCATGAGAGTGTCTTTCAGATACTTCCAAGTACTCCCTTATGAACACTTTCCATTAGTTTTATTTAGATTTGTTACATTTTTTACTACTTGCTTGAATGGGTCAGGAGCCGCACAATAAACTTCCTAGATTTATGTAATTGAGAGGTCCAATTATGAAAACATGAGTTCTTCAGTGTATAACTTAGGAACCAAACCATGATAAAAATTTACATTGACTTGACTAGCATCTTTTAGGCTATACTTTCCTTTTTCCTGATTTTTTTTTTTTTAAATATCAGGTCAAATTGGATGTGCCTTTCAAGTTTTCCAAATATCCACGGTTAAAGTCACCATTGTAAGCTTTTGCTAAGAACAACAATATAACAATGCAAGTTCTATGTTATTAACTTCAGAGGGATTATTTTTTTGTTGTTGTTCATACTCAGTAGCTAAAGGGATCAACCAATCTCATAACAAATTTTTCAAATCCATGTATAATAGAGTCTGGAGCGTACCATAATTCAATTTAATTTTATCTTTTCCTTCTTCAAGCATTACCTACATGAGTCACTTTAACTTCACATCAACATAAATTCAGATACCCATTATAATCAATCTGTAATTTAATAGTGGTTTAGAACTCCCACTACATTTTCCCATACATTATTAATTTAATTAGTTAACACCATTTTTCATTCAACCTATTGCACTAATAAATAGTTCATTCAGTATTTAAACACTACTCTCCTTTTCAGTAGGAAAGCATTTTGGTAACAGCATCAAAGAACTATCTAAAAGGCACATTTTGTGATATAGAAATATATATATTGATATCATTGTTAACACTTCTAATTGCACAACCATTAACTAACCCAAACAGTTAACTATTTTCTGAAATTACTCATAAATAACTATAATTTATGCTTTTTAGACATACTTACTAACAGCAGAGCTTTCCTAAAGCAGCCATCTCCTATTTAACAGCCCTGC